TGGGCTAGGTGGGATCTAAGGCCAACAGGGTGACAGTGACGCTGTGACCAGAAGGACAAGACAAGTCAGCCCTGCACACGTCTGGGAACAGTGTGCGGGGGAAGCTCGAAGGCGCAGAGACTCAGGGGGAGGAGAATTCAGCCGGAGGCTGGAGAGAGTGAGGGAGAGGGGCAGGGGAGGGAGGGGCCAGGAGGGCCGGGCCAGGCCGGGCCTGGAGGGACGTGCCAGCGTCTCTGCTGGGACAGCGTTGCTCAGACTTAGCACTCACAGGCCACACACTGCCCATCTCACGGTCCCCGTGACTAGGATCCGTCTCGGCTCTGCTGGGAGCCGCTGCCTGGGGGGTCCCCGGGGGGCCTGGCTGCGGTCTCGGCTGAGGCTCTGCCGGGGCGGGGTCTGTCTCCGAGATCGATCACGGGTATTGGCAGGATTCAGTCTGGACCAGGGTCGCAGGTCTTTCCTGTCTGCGGGCCGGGCCCCTCTTGGTCCCCGCACCAGGGCCCAATCAGGCAGCTCGTAGTACCTGATCTTGCTTCTCCAGAACGCTGGCTCAGAGAGGCCGAGGGACAGAGAGGGACAGAGACAGGGAGACAGAGAGGGACAGAGACAGGGAGACACGGAGAGGGACAGAGAGGGAACACAGGTGAGAGAAGAAACCAGCAGAAGTCACAGACTTTTCATAACTCCACCTCGAGTGACACCCCATCATGTCGTCCTATTGGAACGCAGTCACAAAACTCATACATCCTTGGGGGGGAGGGGATCCCACAGGGGCGGGACCAGGAGGCAGGATGCTGGGTGTTCCCTTTTCACCCAGCTTCTTCCATGCCACCCTGAGGCTATCCTTGAGCTGAATTCGTTTCTTCCGGGGAAAGCGGGGCGGGGCAGCAGAGGCACACCGAGGAACTTTGCAAACTTAAACTGAGAAACACAAGCCAGTTAGTCCCCGACCAGGTCCCAGGGAGCCACCAGCTGCAAATGGACATATGACCTTTCGTGCAGCACTCACCAGCTCCCCGCCTGTGCCATAGGGACCTGCAGACTCTGGGGATACAGGCCCTGCCTTCCTGGGAACCTGTGGTCCTCAAAGGAGGCCCCAGGGACACAAGCAGTCGAGCCAGGAAGGACCTGGGAGGCTGTGCCCAGGTGCCAGGCAGATCTGGGTTTGCTGCGTCACTGTGAAGCCCAGCCTCAGTTGTTCTGTCTTCGCGGCCGTTTCTCTGCATCTGGTGCCCTCTCTCCCCTGGTCACTGCTCCCTTTTTGACCATTAGGGCGCCTCGCTTTTTGGCTCTCCGTGCGCCCCCTCCCTCACCATGCCGAAGCAGAGGCCCTCGCCTCGAGGCCCTCCCACCCCCTGCCCTTGGCCTGCCCTCGGTGAGATGTAAGAGGGTCCGGAGTCAACGCGCCCCACAGACCGTGGGGGGAAAGCGGAAGGAGAGCGGGAGGGAAGCGTGGGCAACGCTATGGACATGGGAGGAAACAGGCGCCGGGAGATTCCAGGTCACCCAGGCGGGGCGCCAGGCTTAGAGACCCCGAGCAGGGGAGGAGAGATCCGAAACCGAAACCAGCTGGTTTTTCCCGGCTGTGATTGCTTCGAGGATCTTCTAAAAACACTGAAGTTTTTCCCCCAAGTCATTACTTCTCAGGCCCGCGCTTCCCGCCTGGGAGCTGGGCCTGCTGCGTCCACTGCCCGGAGGACGCCCTGCGGGGAACAGGGCTGCGGCCGCTGGGTGGGGCGCGGGGCAGGTGGGAGGGGCTGAGGCTGTGGGCGGGGCCAGAGGATCCTCTGCCCTCTAGCGGACACCACCCGGCCCCGCCCCCGGCCGCAGGCCTAACATCGGGCCGGACCTGTGCGCACTGCCCCAGGAGCCGCGCGGCCGCGGCGAACGCGGAGGCCCCGGCGAGCAGTGTCCTTGGTCTCCGGTCCGAGGTGCGCCCCTCCTTCTATCCCGACGCCGATCTGGCCGTAGAGGGTGAGTCTGCACCCCGCAGGGACAGTCGCGTTCCCTCCGCCCCACCCTGTCGCTGCGCGGTGCCGGGGCTGAGGACGGGCACCCCGAGCCCGGAGCCCGCACTGGCGGGCGGAAGTCGAAGGGCGCGACTCGGCCCCAGGCTCCTGGGTGCGGACTCCGATCTGGGACGGACGGACTCCGGGCTGGCTTTG